CTGCCTGCGACGCGCTGATGAGATCCAAAAAGATCGAAATCGCGATCCGCGTCTGGCAGTTTCGACAGAATACAGACCACTTCGAATTATTTTGTTTTATAATAACATTAATAGGGAAATCCAAATTCACCATAACATACGGCGTGTTGTGTTTGAATTTGTCGAGAAAACTAACTGTACTGTTATCAAAACAATCGTAAACATGTACGTATATTAAGTAATTAGATAGTACAAATAAATAGTTACAAGAAGTTTCCATAATAGTAAATAATAATTATGGCTGGGATGACAAAAAAAGATGCAGGGTATCAAATTAACGCCTAACTTTTTTTTATAGAAATGGTCATAAATCGTGATTAACCTGGTGTAAGCCCCAACAACCTTCTTTGGCATGAGTGACTAAAAACAATCCAAAAATGAGTCGATATTCCGGACGTCTTTTTTCAAAAAGGTAAGTTTGATTCGTAACAAACGTATGCAACACCTTTGCATTTAGAAATAATTTTAGTTTGTAATATTTATCAGCCCCTACAATTTTTGTAAATAAGCACTAAAATTTTTCCCAACCCCTACAGTAACTAAGATCTTGTACTATAAATAAGGCTACCCTGTGTGTATGGACGTTATATAAGTAAACAATTTTAATAAATTATTAATTTATACGGTTTGTTGGAAGTAAGGACAAAATGTACGTCATTTTCATTAAACATTTAACCTTTTCTGTTTGTTGCGTCAAATAATTAATTAACAGCACCTTTTTAAATTTTTAATTAGTACATCAAGAAAAATTGCAAAAGAAGTGCGTTCGTTTTTCTAAATGTAATTGCATTTGAAACAATTTCAATTGCAAAGTTATTGAAATACGTGTCTCGAAACAATTATATTTTTGCTAGCTGTTTATCTTTGGAGGTTGCAAGCACAAACGTTTTCCGGCTCCTTGAATTAAATGTTGATTAATGTTGATCATGAGATCATAATGTTAAAACTTATTTTACGATGTACATCTCTCAATTGAAATTTTATTAGTTGATAATAGTACAAAAGTTAAATTAAAAATTAAACTGTTAGAACTCGCTTATTCTCGCGTAGCAAACATGCATGTATTTATGTTTGTCGCTCGGCTATTGTGTTTATGCCTTACGCGGATTAGCATAGAAGCATAGATGGCCTATCGAACTATTTTTTATTGACTCCTTCAAGGAAGTCAGTCTTTGTAAAGCCGTTGAGCTGATATCATTAAAAAAAGTGTACCTTTGGTTTACGTTATAATAAACTTTTCTCTCTAAAATATATCGCTTTTTGTTATTACAAATCCTGCATAACTATCAGCATAAATAAAATTGTTTTTTTTTCAATAATAATAATTAACTACAACAGTTAGTAATTAGAACAATATCACAGAAAAATTACTATTACGAAGGGAGCTAGATAAGGATGCACCAACATTGTTGCCGTTACTTTTTATTTTGTATATTAAAGATGCGAATAAAATTATAAAAGCCGGGATACCTATAGGGATAAACGTACAGGGACAAAAGATTAGCACGTTTAAATTTACGGTATAGAAATTAATACAAAAATATTGGTACTTTTGGAACTGATATGAAAATAGGAAATGAAAATCAAGAAGTAGTCCCGATTTTCGATATTTAGGGAGTCAGATAACTTAAGGTAGAAGAAGCGCTAGAGATATAGATCAAGAATAGTGCATGCAGTCAGTCCGTTTTTAACAAAAGAAATCGATTTTGTGTTAGAAATCGCGTGACTTAGAAATTTGCACACGATTATTTATTAAAGGCATATGATTATCGTTATCGGAGCTTATGGATGTGAAACAAAGAGAAAGTATTAAAAAGAGTAAGAGCAGGGCCGCAACAACCTTACGATTTGACTGGGTGCTCACCAAAAAAAAGTTCTCATCATAATACTATAAATGACTAAAAAAAAAGATCATTTCGACTGTTCATTTATGAACTTGAACTGAGTTATTATCTGAATCGACTGGAATTGATTGGGTGCCCAACCCAACTTGAGTGGGTGCCCAACCCAATCCGTGGGCCTCCCCTTGTTGCGTCCCTGAGTAAGAGAACAGAGAACGTTACGGAAATTAATAAGAAATAAGCGAGATAGGCTAGTAGGACACTTGCATGAAGGACCAGTCTGAGACATATTAGAGGCGGAAGCAGGAGTAAAGGGTGCCGGAGGTAGACTACTCATCGCTGATAGTTAGTGACGCAGTGAAATTTAAATCCGCCGTTTGTGTATATGATACTATACAATAAATACAAATACTGTCAGAATCTGAGATTTTCACGTAATGCCTAATTAAAATTGTTATTTCTTTTTGTTTTGTAGCAAAACAAGTAACTTTATAGTGAAATCTCTCTATGTTGTTTTTCTACTTATTTACTAAGAATTTCGATCAAGTAAGGGTCAAGTCAATCAATTCTTCATTTTTAGTATGTTGCCTCTTACACCTTGAAAGCCTCTCACTGCGTGTTGTTATTTGACAAATTCTAAAAAAGTTCGTCAAGACCGAAAAACGTGAATGTTTCAGTTTCGTCAATTTGCGTATGATATAAAAATAAATTTACATCTTTCTCCGATACGTAATTGTTTAATGTTTTGAATTGATAATTAAAAACACGAAGTTTCCAGAATAAAATTTTATTGATTTTCACTAGAATTTGCCTTCATTATGTGACGATTCAATTTGAAGCCGCAGATAATAGTTCTTGACGTTTCAGTTCTTTATTAATCAAATTATGATAAGTTTGAACAGGTTCTACATTTCTACCATTAAAACGTTAATGTTTTAATATATCAGAACTACCCGCTCATTGTGCAGTGATGTGGAATTATGACATTGCAGTAATTTATAGCACTCCGCTTCATTTCATGTATTATTTATTGTTAGAAAAGGGGTTCATGTTAATTCATCATTTGTTCTTGGTTCTTATTCAAATGAAATTTTTGGGTTAAACGCATAGGACTAATGATATCTATAGATTTTTTCCGAGGATATGTTTTAATAATATAAATTTTATATGTACATATATTACGGGTAAATATTTCAAGATGCATAGACAATTAGTAGTAGCAAAACCAAGACTGAATATGGAAGACTAAACAAAAAATTATTACTTCCGGTGAATTTATGAGTTAAATTATTTATTAAATAAAAGTATATATTCCAGAAAATTTCAATATTTAGGACAATTATTGTGTTGCTAAATAAAAAAATTTTTGCTTACAAGAATTATTAAAGAAAACGTATCAGATTAAATGAACAGGACCGAGACTACACATATCAGCAAGATCTAGATAAAGACTAGAAATGCTGACCAAGACTGGGACCGTTTTGGTCTTACTTTGTTCATCACTAACAATTTTGAAGTCTTTTACGATAACGCATATCTACTAATACATATGAATTTTTAGAAATATTTTTAGCACAATGGCCTGACGATAAAAAATTTTGTAATTTTGTCTTCCAAATTTCCTCTCTTCGGTTGTTGTGTTTAAATTCTTATAATTTTTGGTATAAGCCAAAATTCACGACGTTCGAATCTCTGCGGCTGCGATGGTCACCGAAGTATCGCACACTTATCGATACTGGGAGAAAATCTTTAGGTATTTTATTCCCACCAGTTACTAAAGGTTTGACTACACATTGACGAGAGAGAGCACAGGAATAAAACTTTTACAATAGTAATATAAGATAATTTAAAATCTTAACGTTTCCGTTATTAAAAGTAAATTAACTAATTAGAAGACCACCTATGCGCTACCGCACATTGTTGTTATTATACATATACTCATATATTAAGACATATTCTAATAATCGGTGTACTTGGAGTGGGGTGCCTTTAGAAAATGCAACAAAAAATATACTTTGAACTTTTGGACTTAACCCTTTATTTAAGGCATTTGTCCAATGTCGATATCAAGGTGTATAGCTTCTAAAGCCAGAGGTTGACAAGTAATTTTAGGTGTGGTACAGATACTTTTCAATATTTTCATCGAGGTCCAAGAAAAAACATACCTTGTACTAATTAATTATTTCAATTTTCCCTTACAAAGTGTCTGAATATGTCTACTCCGATTAAAAGAGGCTTCACTGTTTGACAAAGTGAGATATCGATTTATAAATCTTTTTATTTAAATAATATTCTTGTGTTGCATTGGGAATTTTTTAAATAGTTTCTCTGAATAGTTTATACTTTCAAAAAATTTCTAGCGGTTCAGTTTTTTACCTTCTGCGATCTGGATCTGGACCAGCGTCCGCCAGTTAACAACCATTATTCTGAACTATCGATGTAAAATATTTGTGAATGTCCCTTGCTTTACTACGTTTTAGTATTTTTAATTAAAATTGAAATGAACGTCATAACAAAAGTATAACCGTTTCAAAAATTCAGAAATACCAAACTCTTGTTTTCCGCACAAATTCGAGGAATATCCAACATAAAGTATTTTGAGTAGGTAGATTGTATTGGTTTTTGAGAGATACGATCTTAATTTCGTAATTTAAATTTCTTTTTTAATTGCAAATAGCAAATAAAAAATGATAAAAATGGGCCTTTGGTTGTTGAATATGCCATCGTAACACATTTTTTTTGTTGGCAAATATTTGCGATGGTTATCTTGTTTACCCAAAATTCTACCTGTTTAAAATTAACATTAACCGTTCTTTCTAACTAGCTTTTTAAATAATAAATAATTAAGGTAAATTACGCAGTTTATGAGGTCGACCGGAAAATATTTACATTTTCACCTGCTTCTTGTTACTAATCGATTACAAATTGGTCATTTGTATTTGTTTATCGCAAATAATTTTGTGGTATAAATTTTCAACTTCAACTAAATATTTTTGTACCACAACACTCTGCGATAATTAAGATGTAGCAGTTGTAACAACCTCTTTTGAAAGTCAAGGCCAAGGTTACCACCTAATTGTTAGAAATATTAACAATGGTCCCTATGTAGACTTCAGGATACGTGTAGCATATGCATACATGTACTTCTGTATTGCTCATCCAAAAAAGTTGCTGAGATGAACACGGCCATAAAAAGACAAGCAATTTTCAACCAAACAATTTGCTTGATTCATTATGTCAATTTAATGGACTTATACCTGTACAGTGTAGAGTTTATTTCTTGTTTCTAATCATTAATAGCCAAAACATTCCTTTTGACGTGACAACGTCTTATAATTCGATGGAGCCGGCTGCACGCACGAAAAAACATGACTCATGCGGCGTTACCTCGCTCTGAGGCGTTCCATTTAAGGCTCAAAGTGCAAGCGACAGCGCGGAACGAGCGACAAAGAGGCACAATCGGCCTCCGCGTTCGGCAGCGTTCGACATCTGTCTCTCTCCTACTTGAGTGAGCGATGCTATACAAAAATACATTTCCATTTACCTCCTTCTCTATATCCATACAAAATATCTATCAAACAAATAAAATTAAAATTTTCTTTTGAAAAATGAAACCATTCCATCAGTATTTTCTTATGACGTTGTCATGTTCAACTATCGTCAGTAAACCGACTTCACAGACAACCGACTTTTTTTTACTAATTTTACGTTTGAAAAGAAACATTAGAAAGTTTTAGAGCATTAAAATTTTATTATGATCTCTATTAAAATTTTCGAAACTGCTAATGCTATCGTTATTGCGAGCTTGCGCGTTATGAAAAATGAGATAAAGTAACAATAATAGAATTCTCATAAAAAAGAGTTTTAGATCCCCTAATCCCACATGTTGCTTGGCGCGAGGGGCGTGGATCGGCATTCAACACGCTCGTCGCTAGGACGCGCCTGTCCGCTCCAGGTCGCGTCGAACCCATTGACAATCTACGCGCCGTGTAACAGGGGCTTTAACTTACACTCTTGTTAGGCAATAGTTT